CACTGCTCTGTCACCTCTGTGGGTGCAGCTGCCCACACAGAAGTGCCCTAAGGCAGGGGGTGCCCTGAGCTGCCCACAAACCCCCTCTGACTGACCCCTCCAGCCTTTCAGAGCCTTTGGGGTGTGCCTTTCCCAATGGAAAAGGTGCCCTGGCCGTGCCACCACAGCAGAGCCATCCCCGTGTCTGTGCCATGGGCCAGAAGGTGACAGGGCACTTCCATCCCTGCTGCTTTCCCAGCTGGCTGTTTGGAGGAGTTATTAAAGATGCAGCAGCTCTGCTCCCTGCATCCGACAGCGATTCCCTCTCGGCTGGGTTCAGCCAAAGGGAGCCCTGTGAATAATTCAGCGTGAACTGCTGTTCTCCTTGTCTGCAGCAGGAGAGGAGATGTTCAGAGCTGGTTGGAAAGGGGAAATGTTTGTTTTATGGGAAAACCTGCATTGTTGGCTTTTTGTTTAATTTAGCATTAAACAAAACCTTTTGGGTCCCCGGAGAAGAGAAGCTCTGGGGTGACCTGATTGTGGTCTTGCAATGCCTGAGCCTGCAGAAAAGATGGGGAGAGACTTTGGACAACGGCCTGGAGTGACAGGACACAGGGAATGCCTTTGTAATTCATGTCCCAGTGTCCATGGAGCATCCCAGGAGCACGGGCTGCATGGGAGCTGTGGGCTGAGGAGCTCTGCTGGGAGCTCTCACCGTGGTGAAACATCACTAAAGGGAGCTGGTGACACTGGAAAATGTGATTTAAAGTTCTGGAAAAGGCGATTCCAGGGACTGCACAACTCCTGCTCTGGCAAATCCTCCCCCTTCCCCTGCCTTGCTGGGAGACAAAAGTTGTGAATCAGCCCCGTAAATTGAGATCCGTATTTTATCTCGTGAGCTCTGAAAACCCATTTAAGGCCTCTAAAACCAGCTGAAAAAAAAAATCAAATTGGTTTTATTCCTCCTGCCTAAGCATCCTGGGGAGTTCTTTGGTGGGAAAACAATGGGAACTCGTGGGGTGTTGGTGTGTGGGCCCACGTGGAAGCGCCCGGCGCTGTCCTCCCGCCCCGGGGACAAGGGCTGGCATTGTCCAGCTGGGGACTGAGCTCCAGCCCCTCCATTCCAGGGAAAACAGGGAGAGATCTTCTGGGAGTTGGTAGAGCCAGCATCTCCTCCAGCCTCTGTCTCCATCTCGCTGCTGCTGCGCTCTCACATTGCAGATTTATTAAATATTGACTCCTTCCCCAGCCCTGTTTTCTGCTCCATTCTCTCACTTTCCTCGGCATTTGTTCCTTGCTGGGAACGGCGAGGCTGGGTTTTGTCTGCCTGCCTTCCTGCCAAGGAGCGGTGAAGGAGCTCCTGCCTGGGCTGAATCCCACCAGGAATCTCAGCATGGACAGGAATGTGAGGATCCACCGAGATGTCCTCCAGCTCCAGCTGCTCATCTTCACATCCCGCTGCTCCTCGGGCGTTCTCTGGCTTTGCATCTTGTTTTAAACTCAGTTTACACCTGGAGGGACGTTCCCCTGGAGAAGGATCCAGGGAGAGCTGGGAATGTTCCCCTGGAGAAGGGAAGGATCCAGGGAGAGCTCAGAGCCCCTTGCAGGGCCTGAAGGGGCTCCAGAAGAGCTGGAGAGGGATTTGGGATGAGGGATGGAGGGCAGGGTTGGGTCGGATACCGATAACAACACCGCACTTGGCTCTGGTGGAGCTGCACCTGATCCACACAAGAATTGGAAGTGACATCAGCAGGGCACAAGGAAATCAGACCCAAAGCTGATCATTTAATTTCCAGCACGCAGAGAAAATTGAGAGAGCTGCTGGGATATGAAGCTAACAACTCGCTGTGCTGGGGCTGAGAATTTCCACCCTGCAGCTCCTGCAGAAACTCGGTCTCCTTGAGAAGATTGTCCTCAGGAAGCAGCCTGTGATTTTTATATCTTTTTTTCCATTTGTTAGAGAAAAGCCCCTCTCCTAGGCAAGCTCAGCATTGGTGAGCTGCAATCAATAACCTCTCCCTCAGCTCAGGGCTGGGCTTTATGGGTGTTCTACATCTTTATTATGAATGAAACATCCTCAGCTGAAAATCTGGAAACCTGGAAATGTGTCTGCTCACTAAAGCTTCTCCAGCTTTTATCAGATCACCTGGAAATCCACTGAAACAGCAGCTCGGGATCCATCCAGAAGTGCTGAGCATCAAGGAAAATGAGGGCTCACAAAACAATTTTTTCCCTTCAGAGGTCCTTCTGTAGATAAATAATTACAGCCTGGTTCAGGGGAATTTAGGAATGACTCAGCCCCAAACTTCCAGCTTTTCGTGAGGAGATTTTGGTGACAAAAAACCAGCTGGGTCAGGGGAATTTAGGAATGAGTCGACCCCAAACTTCCAGCTTTTCATGAGGAGATTTTGGTGACAAACAGACCTCAAGGAAAGGCTGAGAAGTCTCATTCTGCAGGGAAATTCTACACAGCTCGGGGCACGGAGCCCTTGAAAAGCTGGAATGGCCATTAGTCCCAAGAATTCCCTGTTGGCATCACCCGGTATGAATGGCCCAGGAGCCTGGGATGAGCTCTGGGAACAGCACATTGTGTAGCTACTTCTTTTATTTGAATAAATAAACATGAAAACAAAGGCCTTGTTTATTAGTTTTTACCCCAGAATAATTCCTTTGCATTGCAATTCCCTTTTTTTACCTACCCACACTAATTTTGGCATTTGCAAATGTCGACATCCCAGTTACAGACAACAACAAATTGCTTAAAAATCATCCTTTAAAAGAATTCTTTGCTTGGCTGCATTGATGTTAAACGTTTGCTGCGTGTAAGGATGCTTAATTTCATTAAAATGTTTTTTTTTTGACCTGAATATGCCTCACAGCAGGAATTAGAGCTGCCTTTGACTTCTCAGGAATCCAGTTTCTCCTGCAATTTTCCCAAGCTGTCCTGGGTATTTGTGGCCAGCAGCATCTCCCCGTGCCCCGAGGTCTCCTGGAGTCCAGAGGGACGTGAAGATGCCAATTCACAGAATATGCTGAGTTGGGAAGGACCCACCAGGATCATCAGGAAACTGTTGAGTGCTTCCATGGTGGGAATTATTGACAGGGAAAATCCTCGCACTGGGGTGAGTTTGTCATCACAGGTAATTCAAAGCCCCGCTGGTGATTTGCTGCTGGGAGAGAGAAGGATCCTCTGCTGGGGACTGTCTTCAGTCACTGCTCCATGACCCTCCTCTCTTATCAGTGGTGCTCTAACGCTCCCTTATCTCACAGCACTCTTGTGAAAGCTTAATTAACTAATTAATCTTTCAAAGAATTGTGATAGTCTTAGATAAAAGACACGGGGCAAAGTATCTATTAGCGTTTCCTTCTAATGTCGTTATTAACTCCCGGGAGCTCACCCGGCTTTAAACCCTTGTTTAGTGAGGATGTCGCAAGATTTTTAGGCTTTTATCAAAGCAGCTGATGAAATTCTGAGCTGTTCCTGGGGCCTGCAGAGTGGGAAATCCACATCTTTGGCATCAGTCGGGATCCCAGGCCACGTCCTGATGCTCCGTGGGCAAGCGAGCCAGGACAAGGAGTTTCTCCCCCTCCCAGTTATGGATGTATTACATCTTTATTTATTTTATTTTTAATTGGAACGAGCGCATTTAATTAGCAGTGGGTTTAGAGCTCACACAGAGAAAAGCTGCCTGTCACTTCCACAGATTTCCTCTGCAGGGTTGCGTGTGCTGCCACACAGGATTCCCAGCACATCGCTCCTGCGGCACTTCCTAAGCTGTGCCTCTGGCACAACTCTTATCCCAGAGAATGGAAACGAAGGAATGGTCATTTTCCGAACAATGATGTTTATCCTCTTGCTTTTTCCCCCAGAATTAATCTCCCTGTGGATAGTTTCCATGGCCAGGGGGAGAGGCAGCAGCACGAGTGTTGTCGTGAAGGTGAGAGCTGAGCGAAAATCGTTCTTCCCTGGAAGGATAATGGAATGCTAAAAGTGGGATATGGATTGGTGGGGCTGACAGGAAGGAATGAGGTCTTGGATTTGGGATTAAACCAGATGTAAGTGAGGACAGCACAGTCACCAGATGGGGTGATGGCATCTCCCAGGGTCAGGGTTCCAGGCTCGTGTTTCCCCTGCATTCCTGGGGGGATGCTGACACCCTGCCTTGGAGAGACCTTGCAGGGAACGATGAAGAAATGGGGGATAACACCTGAGGAACGGGCAGGTTTGAAATGCTGGGGAGGATGAACCTCCTGGCTACAGCCAGGCAGCTTCAGCTCGGCTTCGGATCTGTCGGGGCGATGAATTCTTGGGGATCAATCACCCCGTTTGTCCTGATTTCAGTGGGATGTGGAGCCCCTGTCCTCGGGCACCTACAGCCCTTTTGTGAGCAGCAGGGCCACGGCTCTCCATAGCAGAGGTCTGGAGTTAATCACAGGATCACAGATCTGGTTTGGATTTAAAGGGACATTAAAGTCCACGCAGTGCCACCCCTGCCATAGCAGGGACACCTTCCCCTGTCCCAGGCTGCTCCAGCCCCAATGTCCCGCCTGGCCTTGGGCACTGCCAGGGATCCAGGGGCACCCAGTGCCTGCCCACCCTGCCAGGGAAGGATTTCTCCCGGATCTCCGCTCCCTGCCCTCGGTGTAAACCCTTCCCCGTGTCCCGGCGCTCCCGGCCGGTGCCAGCGCGGCCGCCGACGCAAAATGGAGGCGGCGGGGTCTCCCCCACCCCTTCCCCCCGTTTTCCCCCTCTCTCCCACCCTTTTCCAGCCATTCCCACCCCTCTCCCGCGTCCCTCCCCCGGCCTGCGGCGGGACTACGAGTCCCATGGCGCCGCGGGCCGGGGGCGGAGCGGGGCTTTGTGCGGGCGGCATGCGGGGGAGCCGCAGCCGGGGCTGGAGCCGGAGCCGGAGCGAGCCCGCCCCGGGGGGAGGAGGGCGAGGGCGGCGAGCCATGCCGGGCGGCGGCGCGGCGGAGCGGCCGCGGTGGTAGAGGGCGAGCCCGCCCGGCCGGGGCGCGGAGCAGCGCGGAGCGGCCGCCATGGGCAACGCGGGGAGCGTGGACGCGCAGCAGACGGAGCTGAGGGCGCACAGCGTCCCCCTGAAGCTGCCCATGCCCGAGCCCGGAGAGCTGGAGGAGCGCTTCGCCGTGGTGCTGGTGAGCGCCGGCCCCATTGTCTGCGGGGAAGGAAGGGGGGAGCGGCGGGGGAAGGGGGGAGCGGAGGAAAGTTGGCTCGGGAGCCGCGGCCGGGCACAGGTGGGCTCGGCGGGGCGGTGCCGCCCGCGGGACGGGGCCGCGGTTCTTTGTCTCGGCAGCCCCTGAGGGCCCGCGGGGCCCGGCCCGGGCGGCTCCCGGGGCCGGGGAGCGCAGCCCGCGGGGAGCGGCCGGGGATCAGCCGCGGCTGCTCCGGACACCCGCTGCTCCTTCTGGGGGAAACCCGCTCCTTCTGGGGGAAACCCGCTCCTTCTGCTCCGGGGACACCCGCTCCTTTTCCTCTGGGGACACCCGCTCCTTCTCGGGGACACCCGCTCCTTCTGGGGGACACCCGCTCCTTCTCCTCTGGGGAACACCTACAGCTGCCCGGAGTATGCCCACAGCTCCTCAGGGACACCCGTTCCTTCTCGGGGACACCCACAGCTCCTCACAGGACACCCCACTTCTGTGCCCCCCGGGACACCTCGGGCTTTCTCCTCTCCCCGTCCCGTTTGGCCGCGACACCCCGGTCGCGTCCCCTCACGCCGGGGACACCCCGGAGCTTCTCCCCGCGGGGCAGCGGCGTTTTCATTTACGGACGGGTCCTTCCCTGGGAGGGCTGAGCTTTCCCTGGGCAAACCTCCCGCTTCCTTCGGGGTACCACCGCGGCTCGAGGCTCGCGCCCCATCTCTTTTCCGCCTGTTTTTGCCGGGAGCCGCGTTCGCGTGTGGAACGGGAGCTGGGGGAGCAGGAGGAGGGAGAGGCTCCATATGCGTGCCGTGCCCTGCTCTCGCTGTAATGCCATGGGAAGCCCGGAGCTGCCGGGGTAATTCCCGTCTCGCATCCCAGAGCCGCCCCCCCGCTCCCTGAGCGCTCCCGGCGCTGGGAGAGGATTCACAACTGGTGTGTGTTGGGGATTATTTCTGGTTAGACCAAATTAGATTATCATGTCTAAGAAAAGAATAAGCCTATTCAGTCAGGAACCCCCACGGACGAGCCAAATGGCGAGTGAGATGTTACGATTATTGGGCACAGTGGAGAAAAGCCTGGTGTCGCCTTGCTCTTGTCGGGGAAAGCCGGAGATGGGAGATGCTCCCGCAGGCAGCACATGGCTCAGAATCCAGTCTGGATTTGGCTGTGACTACCAGGAGGGCTCCCGGCTCCGTCTGCGGGAGGAAATCGCTGCCTTTGGGTTAGGGCTGATGGATGGGATCAGTAAAAGGCTGAGACGTCATTTGGGGGAGCGTTAGAAACGTGTAAGGTAAATACGGGAGATAACAGCCTGTCATTTCCTGAGGTGCCTGCAAGGAGGGGGTGGCCTCTGGATTTAGAAGATGGACTTCAATTAAGGCTGGGAGGATGAGTGCTGCAGCTTTGCTGGAGGGAGAGGCTGGCCGTGCAGGTGGCCAGTCTGTACAAACACGGCGTGGCAGCGTCTTCCCCCTCTGATTTCTTCTCCTGCTGGGAGAAGCTGCAAGATGGGACTCAAACACCACCAAAAATCACCTTCATGCTGTTCTTGCAGCCAGCCAGGCATGGCTGGTGTTGCTGCAGCTTCCAGGAAATATCTGACCGGTTTGTGAAAGGATAAAGTGCCGGGCTGTGATTATTTTGTTTTCTCTGTGGCTCTGAGGGAGAGATGACTGTGCCACTGGTCAAACCCCAGAACGGGGTAGGCTGGAGAAGGGCAGGGATTAACCAGAAAGGAATGACTAGGGGAAAAACCATGAGGAATATTTTCTGTGGGGACAGAGGATGAGTCAGGAGATGGGAGAATGAAGCAGGAGATGCTGAAGGTTATAAGACTAAATCTCACCTTCTTTATGTGCTGTCTTAAGAAATTAGCCTGGCACAAGCACTGCTGGCACACTCGGATCCCTGCTGAGGTCCCGCAGGGCTGTGCTGACAATACCAATTTCCATATCTCTGATGGAATTCCCAGGGCTGATTGGGACGGTGATGAACACGTTGAGTTGCTGTGTGCAGGTCTCCAGCCCTCACGCTGGGAGGGTTGTGCCCATTGCAGGAGGGAGATGTCCCTCCCGTGAGTTTGGAAGTTTTATTCTCTCCCCTCATGCAGAGCAGGGAGCCCTGGCCCTCAGAACCACGAGGAGAGCACGGGTTGGCCGTGATTTCACCGTGAGTGCCGTGACACCAACTGGTTTATTGTTATTATTTATTCAAACGTGCTGTCCTGAGCTGCTCCGGGATCTCAGGAGTCCCTTCAGCGAGGGGATGTTGTGCCTGGAGGTGATGGATGTGTGCCAGCCTGTGTTTGCTGGGCTGGCAGAGGATTTTGGGTTGAGAAAGGGCTCTGATGCAGTGGTTTGTCTGCCTTGAACACACCTGGTCATGTCAAACACACTCCTGGTCATGTCAAACACTCACCTGGTCACTTGGAACACCCTCCTGGTCATGCCAAACACCCATCTGGTCACCTGGAACACCCATCTGGTCACCTGGAACACTCACCTGGTCATGTCAGATACACACCTGGTCACCTGGAACACTCCCCTGGTCACCTCAAACACTCACCTGGTCACCTGGAACACATACCTGGTCATGTCAAACACTCTCTTGGTCATGTCAAACACCCACCTGGTCACTTGGAACACCCATCTGGTCACCTGGAACACTCACCTGGTCATGTCAGATACTCACCTGGTCACCTGGAACACCCTCCTGGTCACCTCAAACACTCACCTGGTCACTTGGAGCACCTACCTGGTCACCTGGAACACACAGCTGGTCACCTGGAACACTCTCCTGGTCATGTCAAACACTCACTTGGTCACCTGGAGCACTCATCTGTTCACCTGGAGCACTCATCTGTTCACCTGGAGCACTCATCTGGTCACCTGGAACACTCATCTGGTCACCTGGAACACCCTTCTGGTCACCTGGAGCACACCTGGTCACCTCCCTGCCTCCTGATCCTCCTTGAGGTGCATAAATTGCAGGAGATGATGGGCCGTGCTCCCGGTGATGTTTTTTGGGTGAAACTCTCCAGGTTGTGCTCCGTGTGCCGTTCCTGAGGATGTCCCGAGCCAGCAGGAGGGAGGGTGGCACCTCTGGCTGTGCCATTCCACGGGGTCTGTTGGGCAGGAACATGGGGGTTTTCCTGTGGATCTGTGTCTCCCTGGCTGAATTTGGCTGTAGAAATGTGGAAATGTAGGAATGTGTTGCCATGGTTCATGAGTCGAGTCCGTGCTGCCAAGGAGAGGGCGCTGTGTGTGTTCTGGATGATGGGATGTACTTCAAGGAGGAGAATGTGGGCAAGCCAAGAGAGATTGCAGGTTTCAGGCTGTGAACCGAGTGTTGTTTCTTCCATCCCCTCAAACTGATGGGAATTCTCCTCTTTTCCAAGAAGTAATTCCCTTCTCTCTGGATTCCACAGGAGTGGGAAGTGCAGGGAGGCAGTGGTTGTGGCTTTGCCACCAAGTTCTGGATTTGGCTGCGCTGGATCTGAGCTCTGGCTCTGACTTTGAGCTCCCAGCACTGGCACATCCCCTCGGGAACATCCCAGCCTCATCCCTTCCCCAGTGCTCCTTCCCTGCCTTTACCCTCTGGACACGTGGGCAGAAATCCTCGGTTCTGGTGAGCAGCGCTGCTCGGAGGAAACCACAGCTCAGCGAACCAGGGGTGCCAGAGTCGCCGCAGACGCGGTGGCACCGGAGCCGCGAGCCCTGGGAGCCAATCCCACATTTCCAGCTCCTGCAGCAGGGTGGTCTCCCTGAACCCGGCACGGGGCTGCACGTTTGCAGATGCCACGTGGTTTGGAGGAAGCAGCCAGGCCGGGCTTGGCAGGGGAAATCGCTGCCTAATGAGCTGTGATTGACATAATTTGACTGCTGGATTACAAATCCGCGGTGAGGTTAACAGGAAATATCCTCTTACCCCCTCTGAGTGGGGTTTGGGTGCACAAAGGGCTCCTCTGTGCTCTGGGGGATGGAGGCTTGGCCAGAGGGTGAGGGAGGTGTTGCCACCCCCAGGGAAGGCACCTACCTGTCCCTGCTTTGCTCCCATCTTCTTCCTGCTGGAATTCCCTTCTTCCCACTGGATTTGGTCCTTCTCCATCCCAGGGAAGGCAGTTGGAGTGTCTCCTGCCTAAGGATTTGGGAGCTCAGTGTGAAAACTCTTAATGTTCCCCAGCTGCTCCCCTTTCTCATTGTCTGTGAGATATATTAGGCATTGTTTTATAAAATATATATATAAATGTGTATATTGTTTAGGGTCTGCAAGTCATTACGGAGCACGACAGGGCTGCAGGAGATTTCTGTGGGATAGGATCAGCTCCCCTGCTCTGGTGGGGCACTGGATTCCCTGTTGTGATCCCTGAATTTTACAGGATTCCGCTGGGATGGATTTGAGTTGAGATCCTGAGGTGCCTGATACAGGTGGCAGTGGGAGACACTAAAGCAGGTTTAGGAATCCTCAGGAAAATGAGATTTCCAAAATCCAGATCTCCAAAAGACCTTTGGGCTTTCCTTGTTGGGGCCTCAGCTCTGCCAGGCTCCTGCCCTTGGGGTTTTTCCTCAGGGTCTCGTTGAAGTGACAGAAACAACCTGATAAATCCCATTGTTAAATCTATACATTTCAGAGGGGTTAAATGTACAGCAGCACCTCGTGGTGACGCTTCTGCCCGGCTTCTGTCGGTCAGGGCATGGCATTTGTAAGTTTTTCCACCCAGACATCACAGGAGAACGTTTTTGTCCAACTGATTTTTTCCTTTGAGTGTCTGGGATAGGAGGGTGCTGTGGTGGGTATTTAGCTGCTGGTAACTCTGCTGAAATTAATTTCAGCTCCCTGGAAACCTGGAATACTTCAAGAATGGCTGGGCTGATGTAAATGAATATATTTTTGGGTGTACCATTTCTCCGTGCCAGATAATCCTGTTAATTTGGCTGATGGTGGAGGGATGAACCCTCTAAATTACACATTAAATTTGATTTAAGGTGAACCAC